ACAAACCAACTGCATACACAGACTGACAGGTCTATTATTCTTACTGGGCATGTACTTTCCCTCGCACACTTCTGAAAATGATTATTTTTATATATTTTTTTACTTCAAAATGCCTCAGCTAGTCAACCATACTGCATTTGTTCAGTGCTCTGGATACAAGCTATCTAAAATGTCACCACTAAACAAATTGAGCCGGGCTGACAGAGATGAATAAGGCTGCTGCAGGCGCTGTGTCCAGAGTCACTGGGTTAATAAAGTACAAGTACATGTATACGGACTGCATATGACTTCCATCTCCACTTTTCACACAAAACATGTACACCCACTGTATAATATATCAAATGAAAATTATGGAAGGGAATGATGAGTACGTTTGTTTACTTTTTCTAAGATAAGATGTGAAATCAATATTTCCAATTTACTCTGGTACACATCGAATCAGTACATGTTCTGAATGCACAGCATTAACATTACTTCAGCTGCAGTAACATGAATATTTAAAACATTTTATTTCAAAAGATCATTTGAGTCCCTTTTATGTAATCCAACTTTTTTCAGCATAATGTAACTTGTCGTTGATTGTGTTTGCTGAACACAGAAGAGGACACAACCTTTTCTTTCAGCGAGGAATTGCCCACAACCTGCCTGTTCACACCTTTCCTCAGAAGCATTAGCCGAGCGCTGGGTGTTAATTTGGCCTGTCCTGACTGATCGAGGCCAGGTCAGTGAACCTTTTGATGTTAACCAGTTCAAAATGCTCACTAGAAAATGAGTTCTGACATCTGTGAAACACAGAGCCAAACACAATGCTCGTGTGGCATTCAGTGAGGCTGTCATGGCTTAAAGTGAAGGAAAAACGATTAAGTATAATATGTATTAGCAGGTAACATCTTTCTAAAAAGTAGCACATTGAGTAAATGTACAGAATGATACTGTAAATTCTTTTGAGATACACTATGTGTAGTGTCATTAAATATTCAAGTCTGCTCACAGAAATGATCCACTTGGCATTAGCAACACAGTGAAAACATCATGGACAGATGAAATCCCTTCACTCCTTCTAAGTCTGGCTGTTTTCTGCCAGGCTAGCTGCTCAAATATCATATTAGGTGCCTTGAAGACTCCTTGCCAGTGATAGGAACTTTTCCCTAACATACACATCAAGCTGCATCATTTGAATTTTGTCCACTAGGGGACAGTAAAAAAAACCCAAAACAAACAAAAAAACAAAAGCTGGCAGTCAAACAGCCCAAGCATTTCATCTTGTAAAATTGCTATGGCTAACATTATTAGCAAACAGTTGCATTTTAAACATACAGGAGAACATAGCAACATTAGTATTCATTTGGAGTTTCTGGCCACCTGACAAACATACTCCTGATCGCTCTTTTGTTCTCCATTAACTCCTGAGGAGAATACCTGACTAAGATATTCCACTTTCTTGACTGGTTAGTCTCTAAATTGGTCTGCTGCAAACAGGGTTTATAAAGTGGTGAGAAAAAACTATACAGAAAACCTGTGGGCCCTCAAACCAAAACAACAAGATAAAATAGCCTTAAAAGCTAACTACAACTGCAGAGGTGGATAATTAATCTCTGTGGATTTGTCTCTACAACTGACCCAACACATACACACCAATGTTAACATGATATTAATATATATAATATCATTCTAATACAATTGTTGAATAATGGAGTTTAAGCAAATATTCATATGAAGATCTATGCCTGTTGTTTGATTAATAATAAAATAATAATAATAAACTTTACTTAAACAGCACTTTATAAAAACAGAGTTTTGACAAGTGCTTACATGGTTGCACAAATTAAAAACATTTCAAGACAGAGGCAAATAAAATCAAGCCATTTAAAATGATACAAAGTTAAAAGCTATAACATTCAACACCAGTGATACAGTAAAAATGGACATGTAAGACAAGATGGAAATGGAAGGATGCACTAAAATGAATAGAAGGCTTTTTTTTGTAAAGGTATCTGTTGAGATGTGATTTAAAAGATGTCACCGAACCTGCAATCAATAAATGAACTAAAATGCTTTGAGATTATTTTTCAGGAATAGATATCAGCCCGCCTTTTTCATACAGTGTGTTAATATATATTTGAATTTGTGTATATTTATAAAACTAATTGTGATCACTGGACGTCATTCCCCAGATGACAGGTCACTATTTTATTACCCTGAGAGATAAAATAATCCAAAATGAGATCATGAACCATACAGTTTATCATGATGTCCCATCAACCAAAATCATAACATATATGACCCACATCACATAAAGTGTGACTATTTATATGCATTTATGTAACCATGGTGGGTTCACTTTGAAGTTGTTTTTCCTCCTACGAGGAGCACCAACAAAACCCAAGTCTTTGTTATTTTTAAACACCGGCACATATGAAGTCACATTTAAATTTGAATTACACAGTTAGGCCTGAGCACTCCTTTCCCTCCTCCTTCAGATCAAAAGGAAAACCAATAAAATGCTTTCCTTGCAGGCATCAGCTTTGATGTTGCGACTCTGTATGCTCATTTGAGCCCAGGGGCATAAAGTCAGGAGTGGACAGCAACTCTACTAACATCAAATTATTTTGTGTTTATAATCTCAACCTCAGATACTGATTGGCAGCGGATGCTGTTTTTTTAGCTTAGGTCTTTCTCTTTTTGACATTTTCTTTATTCTTCAAAATGAGTTTCTTTCTTTTGTCCTAGCATAATACACTGTAGTTATACTCTAGTTGTAAACCTGGAAATGCGTCATTTTGATATGATGCTTTTTTACCACACGTACGAATGAAAGATGCTGCTTGATGAACTGTAATCAAGTAAGCCCATAGGAGCCTTTGTCTATTCAGCATCGTTAAAGGGAGTGACAGAGCAGAGTTCCCAGCGGTTGCGGGAGCCATGTAATTACAATGCTTTGAAATTTGTGGAACTGTAACTCACTATCAAGCTGTGTTTTCAGGGGATCTTGCAGTCAGGATGGATCATTGATGAGCATTTTTTTCTTTTCTTTTTTTTTTACAACTGTTTCAAACACGTACCGACAATAAAAGGAGAAAAAAATGTCCTCACCATTACCTTCAATGTTCCACCTGTAATTCAGTCAGTACTGTGAACTAACGTTAACTCATGTCTTTGCACCTGTGAAACAAGCACATTTATGAGCCATTATCTCCTATTCAACCTGTTCAAGAACGAGACAGTGAGAGAAAAGTGTATACACACCACTCTTGAGTGTTGCTTTTTCTCTGTCTATGTAGGATTTCTATGGACTCAGATGGTATATTATTTTAGAATTCACACATTTCATTTGATTCTATATAACAAAACTAAAAAGTCATCTTTGTGCTATTAATCCAGGGAGGTCTTTGCAGTGCAAGTGCTGATTTATTACTCATTGGCACAAAGGATGGAAAGTGCCAAGGGAGATTCGTTGGCCTTTTGCTCTGAGATTTAATCTGGATTCTATTCTGTATTGCCAGATTTCCCACTCACACCACACACTGGTTGACCTGATCAACACTGTAGGGCTGGCTGCATATGGTACATACTGAAACCTACAAGGAGGCAAAATCCAAGAAATTTCACTTTTTATTTTAATACTCATGGCCAGTAAAGGAGATAGTGTACAAGAAAGAAGTGCCAGAAAGCTTTGTTAAATATACACTATATCAATATACAGTTTTGTTATATATAATTCAATAATGGACTTAAAGTGTTCTTATGATTGTCAGCCATTTGCTTCCATTAGTCAGCAGTCCTCTATTTAGTGCAAAGTGTTGTTTGTTTGTTTTTTTTTGTTTGTTTTTGCCCAGTGGTTTGATTGGCCACTTATTCACAACTATGAAAAAAAACACACTGCTTATTTGAGCTGCAGCATGATATTTCACCTGCATGCTATTTACCACATGAAATCCATCAGTTCACTAATAGAGACTGTGAGGCCCAGCTTTAAAGTCAATATTCGGTTGTGGCCAGCACAACTCCATGCTGTACCTTTCGAGAGGTTAAAAACACACATATCACAATGGTCGTACATCCCAGAAGGGCTATGAGAGCGTGTGGTAATTGTCGTGTGACTGATTGAGAAGTGAGCCGCTAGGAGCCAGGGTCTTATGTCCTGTGAGAATCGAAAACCGGGTGCAGCAACAGCCTTGTCTGTGCTTTCACTATCAAACAGTGAGCCCAAATTCATACCAACACTACACATTTTTTTATGACCAGCTCTGATCATTAGTACTGATTCCATTTTTTCAAGTTTCCACCTTCCAGGCTACATGTACAGTAACTGCTACTGCAGTCAAATTACATTATTGAGTGAATACGGGGGAAGCTTCTGATTTATTTACTTTCCTATCTTACTTGACGTATTTAATGACCTGTGATAAGTCACTGAAGCATTTCCCTCAACGTGTGACTAGGAATTAATAAGGACCAATAATAAAACATGCACAAAGACATATAAAATTCTTTCACACTGCAGACTTTCACAGCTAAATTGGGTTAAAAAAATATTTTTATATATATTTTTGTTTGTAAAGCATTAAAGCATAACATCATTATGTCTTATTTCATTCTGTATTTGTATAGTTTCCATTAATAAATCAGTATTAGGCTGCTAATTTAAGTATTTAACTGTGGCACTTTTGTTCTCTTTTTTTTTTTATATAAAATTTTATTTTACGCAAGGGGCAATATTTCTTTGCCTATAAACTGGAGAGACTGTACAGCAACAAGTAAAACGCAGAATAAATACCACATTATGAACTGCGCTCTGTTCCCTCTTAAGAGCAGCACTGTAAAAAATTTAAAACATTGCTTTTAATAGAGACGACGAAATTGTTTGTCTGAATCCTCAATGTGCCATTAACGGCTGCAACTTGGGTTTTAGTAGATATAGAAAATGATTTGTGTAATGACAGAAAACCCTAAAATATTTCCACAATTTCAGTGTAGTAAATCTTTTAGTCCACAATAAAAATACAGCAATCATTTTTGCATGAAATCTGACTTTGCATTTATGATGTAAAAGCAGGTGGAAAATGTGACTTTTTCTTTTTTGAACAATTTGCAAAAGCAATAAACTGTGATTACCATCTGAAATATTATATCCATGCTTTATTGTTGACCCTTAAAGAAACATGTTACATACATAAATACATACATTGTATACATAAATAGATACATAAATAATCAATATTCAAACAGACACACTGTCTCAGTGAAGTCCATCGATGCTGCATGTCTGACAGGTGTAGATGATATGTACAGCTGTGGTCTACTACAGTTCATGTGGAGATGGGAGCGAAGGAGTACAATAGGCAGGCAGAGCCGGGTGCTTTTGGGCACTGTTAGCAAGAGGTGAAAGTTTTCCAGAAGAAGTTTTTACAGGGCGCTTTGCGGTCACGCTGAGGCAGTGATAGTCTGTTGTAGACAGCCCTCTCCTCCAGACGAGACTCAAGCGGCTCCTCAAGATCCAAAGGTGCCGCTTCCCCCGGCAGCAAGTTGGTGTCCAGAGCTCCATCCAGCAAGCCAGACACAAGCTTCAAGATCAGCTCCTTGCGCTCTTTGCTCAGCTCCTGACCAAGAATCAGTAAAGAAGACAAATGGAAAATGTGTAAATTTAAAATCTTGCAGTGATCTTACTGGGAAGCTAAAATCTCAAGAATTATTTATATATTTTTACTTTTCCCATTTAAGGCAGCATGAATTAACAAGATGAATTAAAAACGGTATTAACTTTTTAATTGAAAATCCTTTAAATGCGAATTAGAAATATCACATGCTATTTATTTTTGTTGATTTCACATCATGATTTTAAGTTCAGTCATTCTTTTAAAAATTCTAACTAAGGGACTAATCTATCAATAACAGCAGTTGCAATTAAGAGAACATTTTCCATGAACTACATAATAACAACAGAAATCTCCTCACCCTGTTCACATGGACGGGGCTCCTTTCATCCACAGGAAGCACGGCGGCTGCTCTAACACTGAACAGAAGCCCCATGAGAGCTGCTAACACCACCAGGAGCTGCATGCTGTGACAGGAGTGCAGGTGACGGACCAGAGACTACAGTCACAGGAGCAGGAGGCTCACAGAGACAGGAGTGTGTGCTTGAGAGAGAGAGAGAGAGAGAGAGTTTGAGCAGCTCAGACTAGCCAGAGATCCAGAAGGAGAGGCGTGGAGAAAGTGGTTTGGAGCTGGTCACAAGATTTGGAAACCACTGATGTTTCTTTTGCTCTACCTCCAAAGTCCCTACTCTTTTATACACCTCTCCCCCTGTCTGCCACTGACGTAGAGGGTGGTGGGTGTATGACACGTGTGCATGGAAGAGGAGGGGAGATGATGGGTTCAGGACAGAACAAATGGAACTGTTCAACAGTTAACCTTTTTGACAGATTGTTAGGTGGTTGTATTCTTGTGATTCATGGCGGAGGGCGACGTCACTGGGCTAAAAACCAGGTTCCAACATCACTTTGTAACTAATGTATTGACAATTATGAGATAGACACTCTCAAACAAAGACCTCTTCAAGCAGGCGGGTGGACATTTTCCACATCTCATCAACTGTGTGATGTCACTGGATGGACCATAACCATCCTTAACATTCAAGATAAAATGGTCACATTTCACTTTAGCAGCTGTCAAACAATGTAGAAGAAATCCACAACACACCATGACTTATCGTTGATTGACTATTGCCCAGTGTTTGGCATCGGACTTCTCTCAACATCTGATCCCTCTCACAGTGCTTGTATGTGCCTCTCTGACACCTGCAGATTACAATTGAACCGTCTGACACTCACCATGACTCGAGGAAATGTCTTCAGGAAATGCACATCACCAATCTAGAGGAGTAAACACAGTTGTTAAAAAACAAGCAGCCTGTCTTCTTCAGCAATTTAGTGCTAGATGTACAATGGAGCTGATGGTTAACTGTTAACATGGGCAATTTGGGAGATTACATTTATTTGCTTTTCTGAATTAGAAGTAAAAATAAAAATGGCCTCTGGTTCGGGATAGATGCTGTGAGCAGTTTTGGGGAACAAGTAAAAGGTAAAAGCTGTTTAACTACAACAACCTCTACTAGATTTGCAAAAAAAACAAAGCAAAATCACATTAATGTCTGGAATCTCTGCAGGAAACAATGACTGTGAGAGCATTATATTCCAGTTAGGTATAGTATAGGCTGTAGCTGCAGTTCAATTTAATTCACATGAAAGGCACAAAGCTGTTTGGATTCAACTATGCAGAAATTGTTTCTAGCTACCAGTGCACATTCAAAATTAGTAAATTACGTTTTCCTTTTTTCCCCCTTACATAATATTCTTCTAAGGTTTTCCCTGGACAGTGTTTATACATGATTTATATAAGAATAACCAAAAATAATAATTAAGAATACATTACAGTTTTTGCTTGTCTTCATTCTTCATACAAGAGTAACAAGAAATAATTATATCTAGGATGTATTTGTGAAATAACATGAAGGTTACATAAAAGCATATGTTGCAGCTTACATAGACTTATTTACGTGTCATATTTCTAAATATTGTGGCCTTTGTATGTAGCTAAATAATGTCACCAAATAAAGTTCAAAAAGAAAAACATGTGTGAAACTGTCTATATGCAATCAAAACTGATTATGGCATACCACGCACATTCTCGTCAGAGAGGAAATGATGTTCTTTGTGTAGCTGCCCTCAACCTCCAAGATATATTTCTGAAATGCACAATTAACAGACTTACTGGGTTTACTGTTGTGTGCTACCGGCAGGGAACATTCAGCACTTATTTTCCAGTAGGCCTTGGTTGATATGTTCAAATGGATTTGTCGTGCTTTCGAAACAGTGTTTGAGGTGTTTCCTTCATACACTGTTGAGGGCCCAGAGCCAATCCAAAGATTAGCTGACTGTTGAAACGGCTCAATAGGCAATTCAGTGTGTTTGAAGAATCTGCAACAACTTGCCTCCTTAAAAGTATCTGCAGTCCAGCCTGCAAGAGACTTCAAACAGTGAGAAACGTCAGCATGACGACTGGTATAGGTGCTCCCACACATCTTATTAATGTGTGTGGAGGTCTCCATTTTTCATACATCTACTTCATGTATGGCCTCCAGCACCACTGCAAAAAAAAAATCTCTGAAAGGGATCACAAAGGAACACTGACTCATTATCTGAGGATTTTGTGTTGTCTAATTTAACTGCGCTAGAAACATTTAAATGTGATTTACATAAGAAGTGTTAACTTGATACTGCAGCAAAGATAATATCATTAAAACACAAACATCTAATTAAATATCTATGGATATTCTTTCACTGGTCTTAATGTAAGACAGTGGATATGTTTAATCTCCTTTATTACATTGTGTGAACACTCATGATCACAAACAACCTTATAGTGCAGCCACTGCAATGCACTATGAAGGCAGTGTGACAATAATGTACTGCATTGTTGCAGGTTGGTTACATTTTAATAGAAAACCAGTGAGGACTGAGGTCTTTATGACAAGAACTAGAGTTGATGCAACTGAGGGCAACAATGACACTTCACACTGCAAAACACTGACTGAGCTAAACAATTTTTCAGGCCACAGGGCTTCAAGAAGTTTTTCATTTAAATTCATAGAAAACATTAAAAAAAGAGGTAAACTCTCTGAATACGCATTTTGTGAATTTGAACAGTATAATTTAAATACATTCCTTACACATAACACATTAAAGGATGCCATCTTGTGCCTGAATACTGAAACTGCATATGAACCTCAGTAGTATCACAGCTGTGTCCAACTATAACACAATCTGTTGGATTAACCATTTGCAGTGACCAGCATCTGAAACAGCTCTTAAAACACATCACTGCATATTAACCTGGATTTTGTTGAAAAGTGATGCACCAATTGGTAAACATTACCTCCACAATATAAGACAGGTTTTGGTCTAGTGGCTAGAGACTTTCTTTCTAACTTGGCTACAGGCAAGTGAAACAAGCACAGAACTATTTTCCTGCAATCAAACATTGCTGTTTTTTGAAACTAGAATATATAGTCCTGCTTCTAGGATGACATTAGGCATATGCCTAAACCTGTCAACAGATGAATGCACACAGCTCTCAAATAACAGTTTTATGTTACCAATTTATTACAGGTTGTACAAAAACACAGCTTCGTTGCTCAGGTGTGACACTATCTCGCAAAAAAGTTTCAATGTGGAGTTAAAACTAATAGGTAGAAACTTAAGATGTTTGACAATGTAATGACTCTGCATACAGGCTTACTACAGGTAGTCAATACTTATTACTGCAAGTTTTAATTGCATAATGACATTACACTTCAAAAGACATTTCTTGCATTGCAAAGCTCCAATGCCATCCTTAATTGTATTTTTCAACACTATATCATTCCATATCAAACTGACAGTCAAAGCTGAGCATCAATACAATTATCAATTAAACTCATTTCATCATCAGTCTGTGATATTTCAAAGGGACATTATTCTTAACTCTTGAAACTTCATCTTTCATCTAGGACACTATCTGCCTGGTACACTATGATAGATACATTACACAGTTTAATTTTCAACAACAACAAACCGATTTCAGGCACTGTAGGGTTCACGTGTAGAGGACACATTATATTCTGAATATCCAGTCATGACAGATGGCAACTGTGTATTTTCCTATGAGAATAAACTGATATTCAAAATTACAGATAAAAGCACAGCAATATATTACATATACACAGTCTATATAGTATGTAATATATTGCATAATGAGTTGATGTAGTGAATAAAATAAACAGTACAGTTTCAGAGTGAGGTCAGGTTTGATGTCAATGCTCTTCCTGCTCAGCCCAGCCCATTAGTCACAAAATGCTGATAAGACAATTTCAGAATTAGGATGGAAAAACCATCAGAAAAATAAATTAACACTGAGAGTGTGTAAGACTGGAAGAAAAGAAACAGTGGAATGAAATAACTCGGTAACTCAGCAAGTTCTCACCCACTGATTATTATTGCCCCCAGCCATGAAGGCTACTACTCTTCAGTGGTGCTGAACTGTGTTGAGGAGGTGAAGAAGCCATAGAACAAGGTTGTTTATCTGTGGTCTGAGGGCCAGGTAGAGGATGAACATGGTGGTCTGCCGTTGCTGGTCATGCTTCACTGAGTGCCTGTCATAGTCAAGAAGACACTGAGTCAAACGTTGCAAATATGAAAACTTATGTATGAAAAGTAATTTTTTTTTCTCTACATTTACCTTTCTTGCAAACTCAGGGAGAACGAATGATGCTTTGTGAATTTCTGGGTTGTAATATTTATGGTTCATATTTTCCATTTCTTCTTTTGAGAGTGCTCTCACAGGTTCCTTGAAATTTGTTTCCTAATTAAAAAAAAGGCAAACCTCAGTCATTTGATGGACATTACCAATCAGGGAGATACAAGCTGACATGTTATCGTGTTACAGAATAGTGGTGGATGGCAAATGGAGAATGAGAAGCACGCTTACAGGATTTTTACTGCAGAGCATGAATCCAATTTGGCCACTGGGATACGTTGGGATGGTTGTGTAGGCATAGTCCACCACAGGGAATAGGGTCTTGCAGAAGTTTCGCATCTCTTTTATCAGCTCCAAATGGAGCCACTGACACTCTCCTGTGAAAGAGCAGGAAAGGGCATGTTGATTTGCTGTCTGCCTTTTTAAAATGATTTCATCTTGAGGTATTTTGAAGACGGGCTATATAAATGGGAGATTTTAGAAAAGCCATACGTAATTGAAAGGGGCAAGTAAATTGTCATTTAGTAGCACAGTTCAACACAAGTCAGCACCATCCTAAAATTACCCATCAGCCTTTCTCCAACGTTTAATACATAACTGTGGTGAAATATAAAAGTTACCCTGGGAACAAAGAATTCCATCATTTCTCAATGCTGTCTTCATCAACTGATAGTAAGACTCCTTGAACAAACTCTCAGCCGGTCCTGCAACAACAACAACAACAAAAAACAGAAAAGAAGAATAAGACTGGCTCCTATGACAGCTGGCAAAGAAAGAGGTTATAACACAAAAGTGGCACTAACCGACAGGGTCTGAGGAATCGGTTATAATGATGTCGAAGGCATCCTGGTTCTGCTTCATGAATTCAAAGCCATCTCCAATATGGAGGTTGACCTTAGGATTGAAAAACCCTTTGGCCATCCCTGGGAGGAACTTCTTCGATGCGTTAATGACATCCTACACAGAAGACAACATGGTATGAGCAGGCAGTACTTTGGTTAAGTATTTGGAAAAAACAGAAACTAGGATCCTCCTCAGTGTTGTTGCTCCCACCTCGTCTATCTCACACAGAATCACCGATTCTACCAGCGGATTCTTCACCACTTCCCTCAGCACCCCGCCATCTCCACCGCCAATAATCAGCACCTGTAAAAAGGGAAACACACTGACTATCAAGACAGGAAACATGACTCATCCTGAGTGTAGCCATACTGCAGATCCATCCAAACGATTTCTGTCATACCTTCTTGGGGCAGGGGTGGCTGCACAAGGGAAGGTTTGCAATCATCTCTTGATAGGCAAACTCATCTCTCTCAGTGCACTGGATCACTCCATCCAGCACCAAGACATTCCCATAGGATTTACTGAAAAGTGACATCAGAGCAAAGAATGAGTAACACAATTTAAAAGCTAACACGCCCTGAAATAAACTGATTAAATCGTGATGTTCAGATACACTGAGGGGGCGTTAAACAGGTTGAACAGGATGCAGCGGCTCATGTGCAACACATATTGTTATATCACTTAAAAAATTGCTACCATGGTTCTTGTTATTAACCTGTCAGTTACGGGTAACATTACTCTCCTTCCACCCAGAGTAATTCCTACTAACGTTACCACAATCTATCTGTAGGTAAGTTAATACTCTGCCAAGATAATGTGTTTGTGAGCTAAAACTTGAGGCAAACCAGCTTAAGAAACTTCTCAAGATCCCACGAGCTTCAGATTGCTCATTCATTTCTAGTACGTTAGACGCTAACAGCTAGCAACGTTAGCCAAGTTATGTAGCTCAGAGTGCTCACCTCTTGAAAACCAGAACATCTTGAAATTTGGACTTCTTGTTGTAGAGGACCTCCTCCACTTGAAGGCTCATCGCTTGCCCGGGCCATAACGTGCATGTTTCCGTAAACCACCCATCTTTAATACGGTCCATGTCATCCGCCAACGGCCAGAAGTGATACTAACGGGTTTGTAAAATGTGGCAACGTGAGTGAAAGATCTGACACTTGACCGTTGTGTGACAGCTGAACATGATGCCTCATGTTGCAACGAATGGTGTGCTGCTGACGTCAGTGACTTTCCGTTATGCGAGCCAATGGAGAGGCGGGATGTGCCAGTTCGTGTATAGTTTGTTCGACTTCACAGCACCGGCACCGCCCTGGAGCAAGAACCGAGAAGCTGAGTGGTTGAGCGACTGTAGGCTGTAGTTCTCTGTACACGTCCATGGCTGTAGCCCACGTGAAGCTACACCACGGTGGCGTACAACTGCGTCTGCGCGGGCCAGGAAAAGCTGGTGTAGGGTGGAGGCAGTATTGGAACGGTAAGGCAAATTCCTTTGTTTTTGTTGTTCACTGAAGACATTTGGGTTTAAGATCAAGAGTTCAGAATTTCAGCTCTCAATTCCTGTTATTCACATCTAGATGTATCAAACAACTTAGGACACATCACCCTTTTATCAAGTGAGAAAAACTATTGGAACATGTGACTGACAGATGTTTCTTGTTGCCCAGGTGTTGCCTGTTAGGTTGATTTTCCAAACATTAATTAGCTCTGAAAGACCAGTCTAAGTTTTCATCCTTGGTTCAAACCTATAAAGACTGCATTTCCTGTTACAGAGGATAAACCAACATGAAGACCAGAGAGCTGTCTATGGGAGAAAAGCAAGCCATTGTTAAGCTGAGAGAAGAAGGAAAATCGACCAGAGCCATTGGACAAACATTGGGCATAGCAAGCACAACAATTTGGAATGTCCTGAAAAAGAAAGAAACTACTGGTGTACTGAGCAACAGACGTCGAACAGGTCGGCCAAGGAAAACAACAGTAGTTGATGACAGAAATATTGTGAGAGCTGTGAAGAAAAATCCCAAAACATCAGTAAGTAACATAACCAACGACCTCCACAGTGCAGGGGTGAAGGTATCACAATCCACTGTTCGAAGAAGGCTCAGAGAGCAAAAAAATAGAGGCCACACCACAAGATGCAAACCACTAATCAGCAGGAAGAATCGGAAAGCCAGATTGAAATTTACAAAGAAGGACTGAGATGAGCCTCGAACGTTCTGGAACACAATCTTATGGACTGATGTGACCAAGATAAATCTCTACCAAAGTGATGGAAAGGCCAAAGTGTAGAGAAAGAAAGGAACTGCTTATGATCCAAAGCATACAAGCTCATCTGTGAAGCATGGTGGAGGTGATAGGGGTAATCGGGTGGTGATGGCGCATGGATGAGATGCCTGCCTTTGGTGTGAGAGACCCGGGTTCAATCCCCCACTGTGACACATCCACCAAGTTGCTCCAGAGGTGTGCGACCTCTGACATATATAGCAATTGTAAGTTGCTTTGGATAAAAAGCGTCAGATAAATGTAAACTGCTAATGTCATGGTTGGGCCTGCATGGCTGCTTCTGGAACAGGCTCATTAATATTTATTGATGATGTAACTGATGATGGTCGCATCAGAATGAATTCAGAAATAGACAGAAATATTTTGTCTGCCAATTTACGGAGAAATGCATTGAAACTAATTGGGAGGAAGTTTATCATGCAGCAGGACACTGACCCAAAGCACACTGCCAACAAAACAAAGGACGTCATCAGGGGGTAAAGCGTGCAAGGTTTTAGACTGGCCAAGTCAATCAGCTGACCTTAACCCAGTAGAGCATGCATTTCACCTCCTTAAGAGGAAACTGAAGGGAGAAACACCCCGAAACAAACAAGAACTGAAAGAAGCTGTGGTAAAAGCCTGGAATAGCATCACAAATGAAGAATGCAACAGTTTGGTGATGTCGCAGGCTTGAGGCAGTTATTGCAAGCAAGGGTTATGCCACCAAATATTAAATGTTCTTTACTTAAAGATTATTTGTTCCATTACTTGATCACCTAAAAATGCTGTGGTCTAATATAGGTCCTAAGTTGTTTGACACATCTAGATGTGAATACCAAGAAATAAAAGCTGAAATTCTGAACTCTTGTCTTACTACTCATCTTTTGATCTTAGACCCAAATGTCTTCAGTGAACAACAAAAACAAAGGACTTTGCCTTACCGTTTCAGTACTTTTGGAGGGGACTGTATGTTTGTTTTTTTGTAAAGTATGGTCTTCTCGAATTTGATTCATATGTTCATGCCCTCCGACTTGAGAATTTTACAGAAATAAGAAATCCTTATTGGTCCTTCTAAATTTTCAACTCAAGTGGCCATCTTTCGACTATTAAAAAGCAATACTTTGAACTACAGTATCAAGGGCTACAGATCATTTTTTATTAATTTATTTTTTCCCCCAGCACAGTAAAGAGCAGCTTTTAATTAGTTTCTGAACACTAATTGATTAAACAATAAAACATTTTAGGCTACTGAAGAAAAATTGGGATAACATCCAAAATATGAACTCAGAAAAATTAACAATAATTTTTCCTGTGACGTTTTTTTTTTGTGGGGAGATTTTCCTCTGAAGGACAGAGGTTGTTGTACAGATTATATAGATCATACAGTTTGGATTGAGATTTCCGGACTCGCAGTGATCGGAGTAGTCATTCATTCATAGATCTTAGTAAACATAAATCTCATAAAGCTGAATGAGGAAATTTGGCTTGGTGGGTGTTGTGCTATAGGTGAGCATTAGTGACTTGAAATAAGCAGTAACAGGGAGCCGATGGAGGGTAATGAAAGGTGAAGTGACATGAGTCATTTGTGGCTGTTTGAAGACGAGCTGTGCTGCGACATTTTTGACCATTTGCAAAGGTTTTACTGAGTTGAGTGACATACTCAGTCAGATAAGACCTAGAGTCTCATTTATAAACTGATTTACTACAACAATTTTGATTTTGAGTATGACATACGCAAATACTTATATACTTTGACGTGGACATGATCTTAACCTCTAAGCAGCTGCTCACACGTGTTGTTATACCACTTTTACAAGTTTTCCAGCTTTCATTCATCATTCTGTGTTGTTGACTTTCTATATTTTGTTATATTACAGGATAAGAAACTCATCATTTACATTGTAACTCAAATGTCACCCTTTTTCAGCAGTTATGCGTATATAATTTGACACACAGTTATATTTCTTAAAAAATTACTACCGGAATAACATATGTTGTGCTGTGCCTTTCATTGATGCTTGGTTTCTGACAATAATCTTGTTGTTATACACCTGTAGCCTCTCCTGTTGTCATAAATCTACAGTAGTTAACAGTTGAACAAAGTATGCATAGTCTCAGTGTCTATGGTCAATGCTCCCACTCAGGGATCTTAACCACAGTGAACTTGTTACTGCATTCATGATTACAGCACAGCACTTCTAAGCAGTAAATAAGACACATCTTGGTAATGTTCAAAGATTAAGAAGTAAGTAAGGATAATTAATAAACTAACTACTAATGATTAATGATTACTACTAATTAAGGATACTAAATTGATCAAATATGAAGACATGCCCTCTCCTGATCATGCCACTTTCACCAAAAACCTCACTTTGTGGAATAAGTTTGTGTCTTTTGTCTGTGCGCTAAAGACAAGACATCCCTACTGTGATGGACTATGTTTATGTATACTTTGTAACACATTTTCACTAATTCTGCTTCTATATTTTAACTTTTGCTGTTTTTTTTGATGATGTCTTGCTGCGCTCACTCACTCTGCTCCCAGAGCACACGTGCCTGCTTACACACACACACACAAACACATGCTACTGCTATTGCCTCCGGGCAGACACAGAGAGGACCACACACACTCAGAGCTATAGAGTTTCAACGTTGTGATCTTAACTTTACACTGTAAAATAACACTCTAAATGATGACAAGAGCTATTAATTAATTTTGACACTGTAATCCTAACTTTACGCTCTAAAGTAAGACTTTAAATGATGCCAATGATACCACCTTCGCTCTAATAATTAATGATAACAATTTAGGCTATAATGCTCTAAAATAATTCTCAACACAACGTTGTATAAGATTAGTTTTTTGTGCAATTTAGCGCCCCTTCCATTTCAGAGTTTAAATAAAGATAGTTGTACATGTGCATTTGTTATGATTACATTACTCATGATGAAAAACTAACAAGTTGACAACTTTGCTCACACAGCCTAATATCAAGCAATTGTGACTACACAAGGCATAGCAAGCCAGCTAATATCACTTACTAGTCCAACAGAAAGAAAGCCAGCTCTGCGTCTGTTTTGCAGTCTTTTATTTTACAAAGCTCCCAGCCAACTTCTTCCAAAGAACAGCATTCAATGCTTTTTGCTTCTTTTCATAGCTTGCTTGCAGAAGAGTTTTGTTGATTGATGTATTGCCGTAAAGCATTATGCTGTTCTTGCGAAAGATTTCCTGCCTGGGATTTCACTGTTACATAGTGTAATACCAGGTGCCCCTGGCAATGACAGAGACGCCATTCTCCCTATTACAAGTCAGTGTACCTTCAAAATGATTTTGAAGTTATTATTTTAAGATAAAAATACTTAAATGATTTATTGCAGTTTGGGACACATATGCACCCAAGCATGTGGGGAACTTTGCATTAGCTATCTGAACAAAGTGATAAGAACTTTCACTCCTAAGCTACGTGTTTGGCTTGAGTTGCCTGGCATCATCAGTCTCCTCTGCCATCACCATAATCTTGTTGAAAAAGTTTGCTTGTGACTTTTGCACCATAGCTTTTCCGGGTTAAATCCGTCAATTTTAAGTTAATTTGAGATTTATAGATTATAGGTGGCGGCACAATGGTGCAGTGGTTAGCACTGTCACCTCACAGCAAGAAGGTTGTGGGTTCAAACCCCGGTTTCCCCAGTCTTTCTGTGTGGTCTTGCATGTTCTCCCCGTGTCTGGGTGTTCCGGCTTCCTCCCACCATACAAAACTAGGTTGATTGGTGACCCTCAATTGTCCTTAGGTGTGAGTGGTTGTTCGTCTATGTGTGGCCCTGCGATAGTCTGGCAACCTGTCCAGGGTGTACCCCGCATTGTGCCCGATGTCAGCTGGGATTGGCTCCAGCCAGGATAAGCGGTTGAC